CGGCGCACGGGTAGGCAGAGTGCAGTGCACGGGCTGCAGAAAGCGACGTGCGGGTATGCAGAAAGTGGCGCACGAGTAGGCAGAAAAGCGGTGCACGGCCAGTGTAGCAGGGCACGGGCGGCGCAGTAGGGCGCGGGCAGCTCAGCAGGGTGCGGGCGGTGCAGCGGGGCGCAGGCGGCGCAGCAGGGCGCGGCCGACGCAGCAGGGCGCAGGCGGTGCAGCAGGGCACGGGCGGCGCAGTAGGGCAGGCGCCGCAGCAGCAGCGCGCGTGACGCAGCAGGGTGGGCGGCGCGGCTGGCGGGCGCGTGACGCAATGGGCAGGCGCGCAGCGCGACTGGTGGGCGCGCGACGCAGCGGCAGCGCGCGCGACGCAGCAGCAGCGTGCGCTACACGACAGCAGGGCGCAACGCGGCAGTAGGGCGTGACGCGACCGCAGGGCACGACGCAGCATCAGGGCGCGACGCAGCAGTAGGGCCCGCTAGGGGCAACAGAAGGACGGAAAAAAAAAGGTGGTGGGCCCACAGAGTTAGGTCCTAGGGACCTCCTGCTCTGAAACCATGTCAATAGTATGGACTAGGAATGAGTGGACTATGAAAGAGTTGGGTACAAATTTGTAACCCTAGAAGGGGTTGTACCCAATATTGGCTACCCCACTACAGCCTAGACATATATGGCATATATAACATTTGACAAGTACCTCACATATGCGTACCCCTTCCAATCCCCATCACGGTCAACCGCCCTGAAGATGCACAGACATTTTGCATACCAGTCCCCACCCTTGTCATTGAGCAGCGCCACATCCGAATACCACCTCTCTCGGGGCGACGCCTTCACAAATGTCCCTTTGGCCACCAGCTCGCCGCCTCTTGTGCGCGGAATGGCCACCGCCGTGTGGACCTGTCACACCATCCCAACCAAACCAACAACACGTGCACATCATGAGTGCGGTGAGCACCATCATGTAAGACTACAAACGTCACATGCCCGCCACATTGTAATAACTTCACCTGCACGCTGTTGGTAGCCAGGCCCAACGCCTTAAACTCATCAGCCAAACCCTTCATATCGTCTCCCAGCGCGGTTATGTATGTGAGAATGAGAGGTTGAAATGAAGTGGTTTTGTGATAGAGAAACAAGGGGGTATACATAGGCATGGGGTTGGAAGCTAGCCTAGGGTGCCATTATTGGACCCCAACCAAGAGGTTGGGTTGGGAGATTATTGGTGGGGTCCAATAATGTTGGCCAAGTTGGGGTGGGGCCAACATTATTGGAGGGGGGCCAATAATTCTACCCAACCCAACCTTTTGGGGTCCAATAATTGGACCAAGGTTGGGTTCCAACCTACAAACTGGGTTACCCCTGTTTGTATACCCAAACTAAGTTTGGGTGCTTAACTCTAGCCTAACCTATAGCATATATGCAGGTTACAAGAGAAGAGGGATTCTAACACAACCCCTTAACCTGCAGAGATGCGGAAAGGCTTGAGGGAAGCAACCCCTGAATCAAGGCGCGCCCAGGGGAGCGAGGCCGATGAGGCGGAGAAGAGCAGAGTGCGCAGGGCGAAGAAGGGCTTTGGTAAATATATCAGCCAAGTTGGCTGCAGCAGCGATCTTGCGAACGGCAATGAGGTTCTGGTGGACAAGGTCGCGGATGAAGAAATAGCGGAGCTCAATGTGCTTGGAGCGACCATGGAAGACGGGGTCCTGGGTGAGATGGATGGTGCTAGCGTTGTCGCACCAGAGCGTGGGACAGCGCTGGGGTGCTCCAAGCTCGGCCAGGAGAAAGCAGAGCCAGCGGGACTCCTGTGCGGCCATGGTGCCAGCATAGAGTTCAGCTTCGCAGGAGGAGAGTGCAATGGTTGAGGAGCGAGTAGAACGCTAGCTGATAAGTCCACTGCCAAGTGTGAAGCCATAGCCTTGTGAAGAGCGGCGGTCCGGCTGGGAGTCTGCCCAAGACGAGTCGCTGAAACCAGAGAGAAAGGGAGGGGAGGATCCACCCAGGGTGAGGGCGTGATCCTCGGTGCCACGGAGATAGCGGAGGACCCGCTTGGCGGCAGCCCAGTGTTCTTCAGTGTGGCGGCCGGCGCCAACGAATCGAGCAAGGACGCTGATGGGGTAGGCGAGGTCGAGACGAGTGCACATCATCGCGTACATCAGCGACCCAACGAGCTCGGCATAGGGCCGGGAGGAGGGGGAGGGGGAGGTGGGTGGCGCGAGTTGGTGACCAAAGGGGAGGGGGGTGGAGACCGGTTTGGCCTGCGCCATCTCGAACTTCTCCAGGACCTGGCCGATGTAGTGGGACTGGGAGAGGGTGATGGTGCGGGCGGATCGATCACGAGTGATAGCCATGCCGAGGTAGTTCTGCAGCGGACCAAGGTCCTTGCACTTGAGACGTTCCTGAAGTGACCGCTTGACTTGCTCCATGTCGGTCTTGGTGTCAGCGAGCAGGATCATGTCGTCAACGTAGACCAAGATGAAGAAGCGACGGGGGGAAGAGCGGATGTAGAGGCTGGCATCGGAGTGGGAGGCGGAGAAACCAAGGGACTGGAGAGTGGCAGACAGCTTCGCATGCCATTCTCGTGGTGCCTGCTTCAGGCCATAAACAGGTCGCCGAAGTTGCCAGACGGTGTTGTCAGGGAAAGCAGCATGAAACCCGGGAGGTCGACGGAGGAAGATGCGCTCATGAAGTTCGCCTTGCAAGAACGCGTTGGAGACGTCCATGGAGTCAATCTCCATGTCGTCACGCGCACCAATATCCATGAGGGTGCGTAGGGTGGCCTGTTTGACAGTGGGGGCAAATGTGAACCAGAAGTCTTCAGCCCAGGTCTGAGTGAACCCTTTGGCAACGTAGCGGGCTTTGTAGACCGGCTCTTCTCCCGGCAGCTGCTTGACCCGAAAGATCCACTTGCCCTCGACAAGGTTGGCGTCAGGGGGGAGGGGAACGTCAATGAAGGAGTCGTTGCGGATAAATGCCTCACATTCCAGGAAGATGGCGGCTATCCACTTGTCAGCGTCAGGGCAGGTGACAGCCTCCTGGAAGGTGGAGGGGACGAAGATGGTGGGAGCGGAGATCGCGCTGAGGATTAGAGCGCCGAGGAGGCCAGGGTAGAGCGTGGTGAGAGAGGGAGTGTGGCGCTGGACCATGGCGAACTCCTCATGGGAATCCTCGAGTTGGTTGAGAGAGGGAGGTGGCGGCGTGCCAAGGATGGGATCGAGGGAGCGGGTGTGCATGCGAGGGAGGAGGAAGGGTGAGGAGCGGGCAATTGCCCTCTGCCGCTGCTGCTGCTGGTGCTGCTGGAACCTCTGCTGCTGCTGCGGCTGCCGCTCCTCCTGATGCTGCTGCCCTTGCTGTTGCTGATGCTGCTGTTGCTGTTGCGGCTGCTGCCCCTGCTGCTGGGACGGAGGAGAAGGAGAGGGGGGGGGAGAGGAGGGAGGGGGGGCTGCGGAGTGTGCAGGGGATGCGGGAGTAGTGGGATCGTAGATGTCGGCAGATGAGGGTGGCGGAAGCGGAGTAGGGAGAGGTGGGAGAAGGGGTGCAGGAGGGAGGAGGGGAGGGAGCACAGTGTCGGTCCAGGTGAGAGGTCGTGAGGGAGGAGGGAGGGGGTCCGGCGGTGAAGAGGAGTAATAGGGGGTGGTTTTGTCAAAGACGACGTCAATGCTGCGGATAAGGCGCCCAGAGGGAGGGTGAAGGAAGAGGTAGCCAGGCGAGTCGCGGTTGTGCCCGAGGTAGACACACTCGAGGGCGCGAGAGGCGAGCTTGCCGAGGGTGCGATCGGGTGGAGGGATAAGGACATATGCCTTGCAACCCCAGACACGGAGACCAGCGGCGTCAGGTTTGGTGCCCGACCAAAGCTCCGTGGGGGTGGTGGTGGTATGTTGGGGATGGGAGTGAAGGTTGAGGAGGAGGGCAGCATGGAGCAAGGCATAGCCCCAGAGGGAAGGGGGGGTTGAAGCGTGAGCGAGAAGACAGCGGGCAATTTTGGTGATTTCGCGAATCCGGCTTTCTGCGACGCCATTCTGCTGCGGGGAGTGGGGGAGGGTGTGAGTCTGTTGGATGCCATGGGTGGTGCAGTAATGGGAGAGAGTGCGATTGAGAAATTCGCCTCCCCCATCAGAGTGTAGGCGGCCGATGGGACGCTTGAAGTGGGCGCGGCATTGCTCGGCCCAGTTGATGATCATGGTCGGCGCCTGGTCTTTTGTGTGGAGGAGGAAAACGGAGGAGTAGCGGCTGTGGTCGTCTACAAGGACCAGCATGTAGCGATGGCCGTGACGAGAACGAGTGGGGGAGGGTCCCCAGAGGTCCATATGGACGAGGTCAATTGGGGCGGGAGCAAAGGATGGGTGGCTGTGGTGGGGGGACTGTTTGAGTTTGCCGTGGATGCACGAGGGGCATGGAGGGGCTGGAGAGGAAGGGAGGGGGGGGAGAGTGGGGGGGAGGCCGTGGAGGAGGCAAGAGGTGATGGCACTGCGGAGAGCGGTGAAATTGGGGTGGCCGAGACGGTGGTGGAGCAGCACAGCGGGGTGGGAGAGATGATCGGAGGTGGAAGGGGTTGGAGTGAGTGAGAGAGGGGGAGGTGACCGCTGCTGCTGCTGTTGCGGCTGCTGCTGCTGCTGCTGCTGCGGCCCCTGCTGCTGCCTCTGCGGCGGTGGCGGCTGCTGCTGCTGCGGCCTCTGCTGCCGGAGGTGCTGCTGTTGGAGATTGAGGAGCGGTATGGGGGGAGCAAGGAGGCGGAGGTGAGCAGGGAGGTAAGCGGGGTTGGTTTGGATGTCGGCAAGGGAGGGGCGTGGGGAGATCGTTCCCCACTTGGGAGGAGTACCAACATTGCCCCGCACGTACCAGGCATCATCGAGAGACTTGAAGCAGGTGCTGGGGGGATGATTCGTCTGCCCGCAGGGTGTTCCAGCTCGGGGACTATAGCGACGAACATAGGTGCAGGGCGGAAGAGTGCCAGGACGACTTCCGCGGCCTGCAGGGGCTCCACCCGAATTAGTGGTGCCATGCTCATCCCCTGTGGCGCCGCCACGGCTGTTTGTGCTGCCGTTGCCCTGACCGCCACCTCCCTTGCCCCCACCTCCCCCTTTGCCGTTGTTCCGAGCCTGCTTGCGGGGCTGGGTAGCAGTGAGGGAGGAGGAGGGTTGGGAGGAGGCGAGGTTGACAATGGGGGTGCGAAGTTTAACTTCGGTGTCGATAATCCACTGTTCAACGGAGGCGAGATCGGCCATGGGATTGGCTTCGGTAAAGGCGTGAAGGCGTGATTCATAGTCTGGGGTGAGGTTAAACATGAGGCGATGGATTTGGAGGGGTTCGGAGAGGCCAGCCTGGCGGGCTTCGAGGCGATCAGCTACTTCGCGCATACGTCCGACATAGTCGACCGCTCTGTCACATGTAGCGAGGGTGATTGAAAAGTACTCCTGAAAGAGGATGCCAACCGAGCTGATGTCGCGGCGCTCGAACATGGCATGTAGTTCGGCCCAGATGACCGAGGCACGGAGTTCCCGAGCCTGGAAGCGGCGCATAAGGGAGTCAGGGAGGGCACCGAGGAGAACGGTGCAGGCGCGGTTGTCAGTAGCTGTCCAGGTTTGGGGTAAAGGTGGCCAGGTCGTCGTTGTATTTGGCGACGATGGCAAGATGAGCATTCCGGCCAGCAACTGCCTGGTCATAGGCTTCAACTGCTGCATCGTACTCAGCTTGGCGGATAAGGTATGCACAACGTCGTAGGATGAAGTCTGCGTCAGCGGTGGCTTGGTCGTCGATGAGTTGGAGGTCGGGTGCACGAGGAGGATCGCCGGGAGGGGGAGGGAGAGGAGGGGTTTCTCCGGGGTGTTCAGGAGGGGTGGGGGGGAGAGCATGGGGACGACGGAGGATGACGTCAAGGACGCGGTAGGGGGGGACCCATGCATCGGAGAGCAGTCGACGAATGCTGCCGATAAAGGAGTGCCAGTTGACGGCGGATTTGTCTGCGGCGAGTTGCAGCTTGTCGATGGAGGAGGTATCAATAGGAGGAGGGAGGGGGGAGGGAGTGGTGTGAGCCATGATGGACGGCCGCGGGTGGACCCGCAGTGGTCCCGGAGGGGCGTGAGGAGAGGCGGCGACGAGTCCGCGTAGAGGAGGGGCGCGGACGGCAGCGTCTGTTGAGGCCGCGGGGCGCTGGTGCGGAGGCGGCGGCGAGGCCGCGGAGTGGCGCGGGCGGCGGCTGGCGAGGCCGCGGCAAGGCGCGGAGGCGGCGTCGAGGCCGGGGAAGGGCGCGGGCAGCGGCGGCTAGCAAGGCCGCCGTGGCGCTGGCGCGGAGGCGGCAGTGAGGCCGCGGAGTGGCGCGGGCGGCGGCTGGCGAGGCCGCGGCAAGGCGCGGAGGCGGCGTCGAGGCCGGGGAAGGGCGCGGGCGGCGGCAGCTCGCGAGGCCGCGGCGGCCCTAGCGCGGAGGCGGCGGCGAGGCCGCGGAGTGGCGCGGGCGGCGGCTGGCGAGGCCGCGGCGAGGCGCGGAGGCGGCGTCGCGGCCGCGGAGGGGAAGGGCGCGGGCGGCGGCGGCTGGCGAGGCCGCGGCGCGCGCGGGGCGGCAGCTGGCGCGGGCGGCGGCGGCTGGCGAGGCCGCGGTGCGCGCGGGCGGCGGATGGCGCGGGCGGCGGCGGCTGGCGAGGCCGCGGCGGCGCTGGCGCGAAGGCGGCGGCGAGGCCGCGGAGTGGCACGGGCGGCGGCTGGCAAGGCCGCGGCGTGGCGCTGAGGCGGCGTCGCGGCTGCGGAGGGAAGGGCGCGGGCTGGCGCGGAGGCGGCGGCGAGGCCGCGGAGTGGCGCGGGCGGCGGCTGGCAAGGCCGCGGCGTGGCGCTGAGGCGGCGTCGCGGCCGCGGAGGGAAGGGCGCGGGCTGGCGCGGAGGCGGCGGCGTGGCCACGGAGTGGCGCGGGCGGCGGCTGGCAAGGCCGCGGAGAGGCGCGGAGGCGGCGTCGAGGCTGCGAAGGGGAAGGGCACGGGCAGCGGCGGCTGGCGAGGCCGCGGCGGCGCTGGCGCGGAGGCGGCGTTCGAGGCCGCGGAGCAAAAAGCGCGGGCGGCAGCGGCTGGTGAGGCCGCGGCAGCTGTAGAGGAAGAAAGGGCGCTAATGGGGGGGGGGGGGAGGAAGGCGGCGAGATAGCCGAGGGAAAAAAAAGGAGGAGGCCGGGGGTTGCGGCGGTCGGGTGGGTGTTTGGAGAGTTGAGTAGGCCTAGGAATTATAGCTCTATACCATGTGAGAATGAGAGGTTGAAATGAAGTGGTTTTGTGATAGAGAAACAAGGGGGTATACATAGGCATGGGGCTGGAAGCTAGCCTAGGGTGCCATTATTGGACCCCAACCAAGAGGTTGGGTTGGGAGATTATTGGTGGGGTCCAACAATGTTGGCCAAGTTGGGGTGGGGCCAACATTATTGGAGGGGGGCCAATAATTCTACCCAACCCAACCTTTTGGGGTCCAATAATTGGACCAAGGTTGGGTTCCAACCTACAAACTGGGTTACCCCTGTTTGTATACCCAAACTAAGTTTGGGTGCTTAACTCTAGCCTAACCTATAGCATATATGCAGGTTACAAGAGAAGAGGGATTCTAACAATGTTCTCATCGTACACTGGATCCGACGCTCCGCCAATCCGCATTGTCCGACACTTCTTCGTGAGCACCGGTTTCTTCGTCTTGATTGCATGCACGTAACACACGTATTCTTACAACGAACCACACGGTGTTTGAAGCACGCCTCCACCCCGGTGTACGGTGTACTCTGGACTACCAACACTGGCCATCATCGTCCCCAAGTCCCCCTAACACACCTCACGCAAGGCGGACGCGTACTGTCGCCCACCCCCAGCGTCCGCCGCCACCTCGCGGTACACCTCGCGCTGCACCTCCTCCTCCACGATTCGTCGAGGTATGTCGCTCCAATTGCTCCCTCTTACTAGACCCTTCACCGTGCCCTTGTGCGTGCGCTCCCACATTCCGGTTGAATAGTGGTGCGGCATCTCACGCTCCTTGACGTTGTCCAGCAAATGTCTTATCATGTGTATCTTGGGAGCTGCCAGTGGGATGCCTGCGTTGGAAATGCCTTCGGTAGCAACGCCACCAACCTGCACCGGCACCCCCGAAAAGGCACAATACTGGATGCATAATCGTATATGGCGACCTCAAAATAGCCGTGCAATCTTTCAGCATACCCTCCCATAAATTCGTGTAACCCCACGGCGTGGGGCTACAAGTACTCACGCTATCGCATGCTGCCGGGCAATCGCAGTTGTTGTGTGTGTGTGCCTGTCAACCCCCAGAAATGCCTTGTAAAACACGGCAAACAGCCGGAAAGCCTTGACCTGCAAAGCACGCAGCTCTCCCTCCGGTCCAGCCTTCAATGCACTCTCGTCTGCCACCAGTAACGACATTATCTGCATCATGCTCCTGTGCTCGAACGCCACGTAGTCTGCGCCAGAACTGAAGAACGATGATCCCCCAGGGATACGGAGGAGAACGCTTGGAGTGAAACGCTTGAACTCCTTCTTGCGGCTGCGCACATACATAGTACAAAGTGGTCATCCGCTGACACACATGGGGGCCTGGACCCCAACTAACCCATGCAGAGTAGAGCTGGCTACCGCTCTCACACCCGACTACACCTAGCTCACCTTTCAAGCAGCCGCATCTCAACCTTTCCAAGAGGTTCGATGTAGGTGTCCATCATGTGGCTCAGCACACCGGAGTCCAGAACGTGCATTGTGTCTGCTAGGCATGCCAGGTACACGTTTCCCCACTCTGTGTCTGCGAAATTCCACCTTTGAAGCACGCACTGCAACCATCCAACAGATGACTCAATGTTGTCAAGCAGTCCACATGATATCCAGCCCCCTTTTAGTACGCACCACCAAACTGCGCAACAGCAAACACACCTCGATCGGATGGGTTGACCATAACTTCCGCACATCATTTGCCTCGCCCTTCTTCTTGCACGCCAAAACCTGACAAACAATGTCCCTCTGCTGATCGGGGGTCCGTGGATCAGACTTCCCCACCATCATGGTCAACTCCCCCTTCACAGCATAGCAGTTAGTGCATGGCCGATGCGATCCTTGCTGAAGAGTTGCGGAGGCTCTGCTGGATTCCGGACAGTCGGCAGGGTATCTGTACAAGCAAAGGACCACCTTGTGCACCTTCCCGTCCGCGTCTATGCAGTAGAAGAAGCATAATGGCGCGCTGCATAGTGACACAATGCACACATAGTGTTCACTTAGTGATGGATCGTGTGCGTATCTCTCAATAGGGTGGCTACTAACGGGGGTGCCCCCCCTTCCCCACCCGTATAGCGTTATCATCCCCACCCCCCTCCCCTCCCAGTACCTGGCATACTCTCGCATGATGGGCGCGAGTATTATCTTCAGTGCCTCCTGGAACATGCACGTCTTCTCCGTAGGCGAAGCCCACTCAGGCGGGAATGGAAGCACCGCCGCCAATGTGTGCCCGGGCTCCACTCCACGCAATTCTTTTAGTATGTTGATAAGTGAGATCAGCACAGGCCACTCGTTCCTTCGTCCATTCTGTGATGCCTCCGTGCTATTGTTGTATATCAGCACGCCTAGTACGAGTGTCTGGTCGTCATTAATCTCCTTCTACCAAGTACAGCGCACGACCCGGTGAGCGTTGTGACACCACTTGCAGCTACCAGTATGCGCGACATATGACAACGGAACATCAAACATGTGCGTACCTGAGCAGAGTGCATCCAATCACCTGTCTCCGGTCCCTCAAATACCCTCTCGTTGTTATTCTTCCGATAAATCTTCCTTGGCTTCCAAACGAACCCCTTTTTGGATGAGAACGTCCGCACCAGCTTCTTCAAGATCTGTGTGCGTCACGTAAGAACGTGGGTGAGAACATGATGTGGGCCATCATCATCTACACGTCACCCCGACATCGCCGTCCAGGTTGGCCTCCCATTACGTACCAACTCGATGTCGCGGAAGTGCAGTAGCAGCTTCATTTGCAGTCCTTTGGGACCCCTCACCACTATCTCCTCCGTTTTCCATGGGACCATGTCGGCTGGAGCTCGCGCCATGCCCCAGCGGCGCACATCCACCCAGTTGCGCCATCGTCTGAATGCCCTTAGGTTGAAGCAAGGGTTGCGGAAAATGTGTAGTAGACGGTTAACTTCCCTGTGCGACAGATTGGTGTCACGGAAAAACTGGTACAGCTCTGTCAGTGTACAAAAAATCTCTGTCCTATCGCTGCCTTCTGAAGACTCGGCGTTAGCGCCGTCGGATGGTGTATCCGCGTCGCCAACCACACTAACTTTGGGAATCGAGACCGTTGGAGCAACGGAGACAAAGCTGCCATCGTTGTTTTTAAGCCTGGACGCCGGTGGGGTGTTTGGTCTACTCTCTCCATCGCACGCAACGACTTCCAAATATGCTGCCCACAAAAGTCGTTCATGCTTCCTCTTCAACTCCTCGCGACAAACAACCCCATTCGCTACATGAGAGTGTAACCTGCTGTCATCTTTAGACACCGTCTTGCACACCAGGCAACTGTTCCCCGTCATCCTACAGCCGTGAAACCCTAGGGATTGCTGCTGTGAAAACCCTGCCCAGTACCTCTGGTGCCCTCTACTACAACAGAGATGGGCTGGTTCGAGCACACACATGTGCAGGAAGCTGAGTTGAGTGTGCACAGAACCGCACCGAACGCGTTACAGTGAAAGGAACAACTATCTTATGCGTGTATGTTTTGTATGTGATTCGTCGTGTACTAATGACACACCGCTACACCGACTAGCACACTAATTTAATCAACAAATTTATATTATCCTCATCTCTTTCCGTGCCCACCAATAACATTGTGTAGCTTTGTTTCATTGTCATGGCGAATCACGAATGTTTAGGTAAACAAACTCCAACGTACACTGACGTAACAAAACACATTGTAATCGCGTTTACTAGTTCACTGAGTTTAATAACCATGTACACCGACATGCCATAAATGAGACTCGGCGCGCGATGAGACACATATCCCCATGTTCACCCTACGGCGTACATCGTTACATTTTTTCGCGTCATTCGGCCTCCATAGTATAAAAATCGGGCTACAGGTACACGACCCTATATTCGCTTGCATGCATCGGCTTGGTGACCCGCCTTCAACCTCCGACCACATCATCAGAAACCCTAGGATTAGAACGCGTGGATCTGCATGGCGCTGATCCATCACAGCCTCTCGAGTGGTCGCATCACACCTGGCCATCGCATGCACCATTGCGCCGACGGTGTAGATCATTGCAGCTCTACATGACGGTCCCACCAGCTGGGCATGATACAACAGGGTTACGCCTTGCTCTCTCCTTCCTTTTCCATAGTATCCTCATCGCTTGCACTCCCCGTAAATGTTTTCATACAGCCAACCCCACCGTGCTCACGTTTTAATCAGCCACCGTAGCCAGTATTCTCGTCATTGTTAGATCATGATGGCGAATCCTAAGAAGTTGACATTTAAGCGCAACCGGTTCTATCAACCCAAGACTAGCAGCAGCTCCGACAACCAAGTTCCTGCCCCGCCGGCGTGCAGAACCAGGTCGTCGAAAAAGGCCAAGCCTAACATGAAGAATCCAGGGCCGATCCTGCAGACTAAGGAATCCGGAAGGGCCAGGAAGTTCACGACTCATAAAGAGGATACGGCGCGGGAGCCGGTGCCGGAAGATTTGGCGGCCCTTGTCGCACGGAATTACGTGAAGTGTTAGTACGGAAACATGACGCTAATAAATCACCGCGGTGTCGGGTGTGAGGTGGATAAGAATAACCTCATGTCGATCGAGGATGATCAATGGATTACTGATGGCGTGCTCGACTTTCCAAACGTGTAAGTCTCGTCCAGGCAGTCACCTGGTTGACGCTTGGTTGCGTAGTATCTGATGTCTGGGCAACATTTGATGTGCACTGTGTTTTCTTGTTCATGAACTTTGCAGGCTGCTTAGCATCCGGAAGCCGACTCTCCGTGACGGGAAAACATGGGCTGCCTTGGACTGCAAGGCGTATTTCCAGACAAACACGTGTGGAGCGCCTTTGACGCTGGGGAACGGGCTTCCGCTACTAGAGCACGACTATCTCACGATCCCTGTGCTAGAGGGGTACGTA